GCATGTGACCGTTTCAACCTACGGAAGCAGTTCAGAATATGCCTCAAAGAGTGTGCCTCAAGAAAAGCCATGTAATGTCTGTCCATGTCTCCATGTCGACTCCTCAAAAGGGACATTGAGGCAAGGAAACACCTATAATTACTTGACAATAGCCTAGGATCATATGGGTGTTGCCGAGGCATGTGGATGTGGCCATCGAGCAACCCTGGTCTCAGAGATGAAGATTTGGAGAAGGCTCCAGAATTCCAGATCTCCCAGTGATGCACCCTGACTCCAACAAGGACGGGCTGCCCGATGGATTATTCATTCCATCCAGCATCATCCAACCTTGATAGAATATATACCTGCAGCACTGGCATATTTCGGGACCAAAACATATAGCTATTATGTCCTGTTATTTCGTTTGAAGCCAGTCACTTGCAGGTTCTATCGACCAATCCCCCCAAGCCCCGCGCCTGCCGTTGGATCCGCGGCCGGGCCTGGGATCCGAGAGGTGACACATGCGGCGGTTTGGTGAGTGGAACGACCGGGAACCAAACACGGGTATTTCCCTGTGTAAAGGGATGACTCTTCTCTACCTGGGAATTCCCCACAGTTCATACAACATCGTACAATGATCAACGTGTTTTTTAGTTCGACGGCCCCCAGAAGAAAGGTCATAATACCCCAGCTGCGTTCCCGGTTCCCGGTTCCCCGTTCTCATCAATGAGAACTGGTCTGTCCACCCGAAGTCTCACCCATCTTGAGACTTTAGTAGTAGTGCCCCACAAGAGTGTTCCACCACTCCCAGGCACTGAATGTGTTCCACTCCTCGTGTAAACCACGACTGTGCCCAGGCACCTGACCTTTTGGCCGCTTTCTGCCCTATATACATATGTACTATAAGTATGTACAGGATCGTATAGACAAGATCATGAACACTCATGTACAAGATCGTAAACATCAACAATCATCTGATAGATCTGATCTCAATTAGAAATTATCACGCTTACGTTCGCCCAATAGTGCTGCTACTTACTCATCCGCACCTTGATGAAAACGCTTCGGTGGTCACGGCTGAAGCGCAGGAGTCCCTGCCAGGTGCGAGTCTGTTGCTAACATTGATTTGGCACTGCCTTTTTTTGCTGATCAGTTGGAGTGGTTTGCGGGGTCAATGTAGGCTAGATTCCATACATGGAGTGTCTTAATGATTGGCACTGTTCATGTGCATGCTTCATATTGCTCGTCCAATATAATGACTCATATCAAAGTTACATTAATCTTGTGTAAGGTCAGGCTGGCCCTGGTTGGCGGTGTTTCACACTCTTCTGGTTGGGTGCTCCCTGAGAATCACTTTACAAGTAAAAGATAGGCTTGCCATGGCCTGGTCAACTGGATTTTGCCGGGAAACCCCGCCGAAAAGCCTCCACCGCATTGATGTCAGGATTTCAAACGGTCCGACAGTGGAGTGTGCCAGTTCGAAGTACTAGACGCGCCCAAGTGGTCAGCCTACCGTGAGGTAGACTAGTGTGGCGCCCCAAAGCGGTGAAGACGAAGGTCCACCGGCCGAACCGGAGCACCTGGTGCGCTTCGACGAACCACACCGGTCCGACCTGTGGAACGTCCGACCCGTTGGTGACGCCTGCCAGATCCTCAGGATCTCCTCCAGGGTCATGTCCTCCACCAGCTCCGCCGATCTCTTCGCCTCGAGCGGTTGAAGGAAGAGAAAAGAACAACAAACACCGACTGTAGTGTCCAAGCCACACTCCATGAGACTATATACGTTCCAGCATCACCCAAAAGGTCGGTGTAGCGCCCCCTGACCATGTGTTTTCCATCCAATAACTATCCTTTGAATCCTTTGGGTGGTGCTGGTTGTTTCGGGGTCAAAGTAGGTATATAATTAACCATAGACTATAGATAATATATTATTCCAACCCCACGGAGTGCCTTAGAACACCCGGAGTTCCACCCAACAGTGTGCCCCATGCGGAGCGCAATGCTTGGCTAGAGCAAAGGCCGATGGCTCTCCCAAGGTCGTTGGCTGCGCAGCAGAACGGCCAGGTGCTAAACTCTATGTGAATTCTGTCGCGGCACAGCCCCACCCGCTTGGGCAACACGAAGAGGTCCTGTTCAGAGTCCGTTCTTCAGAATGGGAGCACACTCCAGATCGTTCAAGTGATACCCATGGAAGGTTGTCGCCAGCCATGGCCCTCTGGCGGATCTTGACTATCATGGAGTTCTCATAGTCATAGGCCAGTGTCGCTTCCAATGTAAAGTGCGCACTAAGGCCTCATACTCCATTGTCAAAGACTCCATGTAGGGAATGTTACTACATTGGGTGGTTTCACAGTTCAATGTAGGCGAAATACAAATATATATAATATATGTAGACGAGAGAAATTCTACTATATATATATTCCGAATCGATTTGTTTCCTTATCCACTAATTATTCCTTCCATAGATGAAGTCTTTGGGCATTGCGCCGGCACCACCTGCAAGAAATCGCTCGCCCGAACACGCGATAGAACATCCAAACGACCAAAACCTGTGGCGACTGCAAGGAGCTGTTTCTCCAACGCTGTCCCATGTGGCCCGGACGAAGTCAGCGCCTTGTTTGATCTTGTTTTTTTAAATTCGGCGACTGTGCAGCTCATGGAGAAGGCCATCAAAGAAGTGCCGCACTATACTCGATCAAGAACAGCTCCAAAGAAGGAGGATCACCTGGTGCTTGCTTGAAACCCAATATGGACAGACGCATTTCACATCTGGCCCGAAAAAGAAGTTCAAGCGTGAAGGATCACCTGAGCCGACGGCGAGGGAGCCGTGCCGCTGCTTCGCACGACCAAGCTGGTCGAACACAGAGTAGTCTCACATGGCACCTGCCGCAGTGAGTGACAAAGCCAGAGCATGCCATGTGGCGCAACTGAAAGGAGTATCACGAAGTGAACGAGGACCGTGTGGTGTGGCAACGAAGGACCGATGTCGAAGGGAAGAGCCAGCGTGAATGTCCAATGAAACAGCCACTCCGGGACCCCGGAAGGGGGATTTTAGGATGCAAAGGAATAACACAAAGCTGGAAAAGCCACTGGCAAAAGTGGAAGGCAGTGGGTATTAGGATGGCACAAGAGAAAGGGCTCAAAGGCACAAGATACCATGTCTGTCCATTGAATCCTCGAAACTATTGAGAATCTGAAGGGCAGTTGAAGTTGCATTGAGGAAACACCTGGGTATTTGAGCCGTTTGACAAAGCGGTAAGAGTAAGCTGACGAAAGAGCTTCCAGACACTCTGTTGACGGAAAGAGTCTGTGAAAGGGTTGCTTCAAACAACATTGAATAATGAATATATTTCTACGCCCTTGTCTCGGACCAGCGAGTCATCTTCCTGCAATCCTTTGAAACGTAAACAATAAGATCTCTGTCACTGGTTGGTAGACAATAAGCGGACTGGAATATTTACATACCATGGATGGGGTGTTTAAGATGTTTTCAGGATCCATGTAGGTAAATGGTTCCAGAGTGATGGTTGAACAAGTTGAGTTTCCACCATGGATTAAAACATCCCTAGGGAGCCAAGTACCTTCTCGGAAGGTACTTGGACCCTCCAAATCTACATCACAGTGTCTCTAATCACCTTGTGAGAAGGTACTTGGATCCCTTTTTGGGGCACGGCATGTCTTTTGGTTCCAATCGCAATTCCGTCGCGGAACCTTGGTGACCAAGAACCCCCCCCCGGATCTACGGAGACGCCGGGTTTTGGACTGCTGGAGACAACCCTCAAAAAGAAACAACAGTGCTTAAGTTCACAGCTTTCTTGGAGTCACCTTTGGAGGATCTTCACCTTTGGTCGACTGCCCAGGGCGTCCACACTGCTCGGCCCATCAAATGGCGGCAACGAAGCCCGTGCCGACCCATCTGCGCGGCGCTGCTCGGCGCAGCGAGGTGCGTGGGCGCTTTGGGGGTGTCACCGTCGTTCTCCAAGAAACGAAATGGATGGTATGGCATGGCTTGGAGAATTCTCGCCCAAAGCTTCAAGTTCACCACACCAGCATGTCATGGTGAGTATGACTCTGACCAAATAATCAATATCGAGGACTAAACAAATGAGTCAAAACCTGGAGCTCCAAACCCTGGTAGGTTGACATACTTTGTCTGCTTACTAGTCCTCTACTTTTGTCTGTCAAGGAGTCTCCATTCACAACCCCATTGTCGGTCCTGCTATGACCCTCTTCAGCCAAGATGAAGGTCTGTGAACCATTTACCTACACGTGGTTTGTGGTGTACAGTAACAAGTAGACATTATTCTTGTGGAGGCTTGGGTTTCGTGACAGCCCGACATAAGTTTTAAGTCTAAGTTTTAAACATAAACATGTCTAAGGACCTCAAAACAGCTATCATCCGCTATCTAACTGTTCTAACTCTTCACTTCAACACAAACTCTGTGGTATTCAGTATCTGCCAGTGCCCAGAAAGGGTGCTTGGATTATGTCCGAAGTGCTCATTCTCACGGATTGGAGAGTACAGATTTGCAAGCCTTGACTTCAGACATTGGGGTTTATCATCCAGAGGAAATGCTTTCACACATATGCCCCCATCCATCCACCTATGTGTTTCATGTCCTTTCCCTACACATGAAACAAACTAGAGAACACATGTTCAAGAAACACATGTCACATTACATTTCCCTGTGTTCATGTTGACTTGAACACATGTTTTTTTTTCAGGTCATTTCCCTGTTTTTTCTTTTTCATTTTCAGTTGTTTCATGGTTTCAAGAAACTACAACTTGTTGCACTTGCACTGGCCGGTGGCTGAAAAAAAGTTCACCACTCAACTCATCTAATTTGTCTAGTCTACCAGAATGGGGAAAGTGATTCACCTATCAACCAAAGGCCTAGACTCTGACATGGAACACCCGTTCTGGAGTTCTCCTTGTCTCCAAACGGCGCTGCTTCATGCGGCAAATTCTGCGCCCGGTCATTTTCGTTCGCCGCCGGCGTCGGCAGATTCAGCAGTCTCCACTACGCCCCAGTGACGTCCTGCGATTTGCATGGGATGCGCGGACAAGAATAGGCTTTCACTCATTGAAATCATGGAAGTGGATAGCACTGGCGGCTGTTCGGGTATTTGGATTTCAATGGTCATCCGAGGATTTCATCTGCGCGCCCATCTACGTACACCAAAGGATTCTTTCAGGAATGTGGAGCTGCGCCCATGGGGCTCATGGGCGCCGTCTCACCCTTCTGAAACACGTTCCGTAAGGACTCACTCATTTGGACAATGACCACTTTGCAATGAAAAACACGTCAAATTCGTTGGGCTCCATGCCAAGGCAATGTTCATTCGCAGTTTGGTGTGAGTTGAGTCGGACTGGGTAAAGTGGTTGCCTTTGGCCCTATGATTGATCCAGGACTTCATACCTATCTCTCAGGGCGTATGTGGTGCAACAACCACACACCAGTCCAGGAAGTGGGCCAAGATGCTTTGACAAAAATGCCAAAAAAAACAGCCAAACAGCTTCCAAGCATGGCTTGCCCATTCACCAACAGCCCCAAGGCCTAGTTTTTGACAGGATACATGACGCTACTAGTAGCATCTGGGATCGCTAGTAACAAGAGCAGGAGAAAGGGCATTGCTACAAGTAACAAAGCGCATTACTACTAATTAGTAGCAGTAGCACTTGCTATACTAAGTAACAAGGACGAAATTAGGTGGAGGCCATCGCTACTAGGAACAAGAAGCTACTAGTAACAAGGACGCTATACAATGCTTCTGACTTCTCTTTAAATACAGTACTGAATTCTCCAGCACAAGACTTGTACCACTCCTACAGCCCCCGCGCCACTGCACGGCTCCTGAGCCTGCACCTTCAGCCAACGATGCCGGGGCTCTGGCAAAGGGTAGCCTGCGTGCAGCGTGCGGAAAAGGACACGGAGCCTGGCCACGGAGATCAGCCAAAAGCGCTCTTCCGGAGCTTCTGGGGGCTCCGAACAAATCGAGGTCCCATTGGCCGGCGAAGCTTCCAAACAAAAGACGCATAATATTGGTGTTTTCGGAAAACGCGTGTTGGTGGCCAAACACCTGCATAGATTTTTTGGCGCCCAAACGGCCAAAAACGGCCGATCCTGTCCTTACAAAGCATCAAAGATCTGACCGTCTCACTGTTTTGAAGTAATCCAGCAACATCTGCTGAGCTGCTCAGGTCTTCGATCACAATCATGGAAAACTCAGTGACATGAAGCCCACTGTGCTCAGGCTTTGGGGGGGTACTAATGGTCTTTGGACATGTTTTGTTGGGGACCCCGTTCCTGCGACGACCTGCGGTGCAAAACGAGAGTTCCGGTCCGTTCCTGGGTAGGGCTGGTCCGATTCACCGGAGGCTGTTGCAGCAGCGAGCAAGGTGTACCTGGAGGATGTTAAGCAGATACAAAAGATCCAGACATTGTAAACAAACACTGCATGTTATTTTTAAAACTATATAACTATATATATATATATTATCAGGTTCTTATATGTTCTTATATTGTATGTGAAACCATGGCAGATTTGTTGAAAGACAAAACTGCTTGGTTGATGAAACACCTACCCTGATCCCAGTCTCTCCCTGGCAGCCAATGGCCGATGTGAGCATCTGCCATCAGCGCAAGACCATTGCAAGACGGGGCTCCCAAATAAACTAGACAGGTCACATCGTGGTACAACAGAGCGCAGTACTATATATATATATAGTAAAGTTGGTATCAAAGCTACGTATTGTATATATTCCAAATCCTTTCGATCTGCATGGTCCCCGCCCAAAAAGGAACCAATTCCTGGGACATTCCGGTTCTGGATCACGCCCGAGCCCTGCAGTCCCTTCTCCAAAGGAACCAAGCGATCCCTTTTTGCACGTATAATGCCGAACGAAACAGCGAAAGCATCGGGACCCGCTTGCGATCCCGGTGGTAGCAAAGATCGGCTTCGACAGCTCGAGAGGTCGTTGATGGACGCGAGGAACTGAGACGAACACCGCACGGTTAAAAAGAGACAAAACAAAACAATACGCATGTGAACAACTCAAGCAGCCCATTATAGATGACAAAAACATACAAAAACGGTATGTTTGAATTGGTTTAAACAACAAAGTCACGATAGCCACAGGTTGCTATCAAACAAAATAACAATGGTCCGATCTCCATCCACGTTCTTTGGAACGTTTTGGGGATCGTGATTTGCTTCCACGTTCGAAACTGTGCTGTCTGCTCCATCAACCTGTCTCAGACTCCTGGAGTCTGTACCCCGCCGATCCAGCACACGTGGCCGTGCGGCACGGCGCCGCTGGCACTGGGCGCGGCGAGGAGTATGAACTAACGGTCGGCTCTCTTGCCGAACAAGACTCCCAGGATAGGAAGTCTTGCCACATTAAAGTAATTTTCGAATTGGAAGTGAAACGATGCGGAATCTGTGGACGCATGCTGTTCGCACCTTGCACCTTGCTGTTCCAACGAACCGAGGAAGTTTGAGTGAACCCTACCCTGTTGGTCGAGGCCTCTGGCCTCTTGTTCCACTCACTCCCGCCTCTTGCCCCACCTTTGTGGGGCGCAAGCTACACGGAAAAAACGACATCGACAATGTTGGCGGGGCCTATGCGACGTTCTAAGTCCTCCAAATAGCCTCCGATCAACTGCCTCAAGTATGGGTGTTCCAGCGCAACTCGTTGCAGGAGATCCTCCTGGACGTTGGAGTCCATGTTTCCTTGCAGAACTTGATTATATCTTTCCTTCATCCTGGCACCGCATCGCGAAGATCTTTTTGAAACGATTCCGTTTTTGTTGCTTCTGCTTGTACTGAGTTTACACCCGCTAGGCCACGCGCCTTTATATAGCTGCTGTATGGACCTTTTGAAAAAAAGGCACAAGTGTTTTCGTGTTTCATTATTTTGATTTGGCAATGCCCGCCAGCAGGCTTGGCCCCAAGCGGCTTGGCTACGAATGCGGACTATATCGATTCACAAAAACCACTCAACATGGTGGTCATCCACATCACGTGACAATGAGAATTTGCCAAACAGTCACGAGTTCCTCGTCACCTTGATGACCTCCACCCTGAAGGGCCTTTCACTCCTTTTCAACCCAAACCTCAGCCTCCGAAACCACGGCGAACTCCCTCACCGTCCTTTGGCGTCTGTCTGCCCTGGGCCGTCCAGGTCGTTCGTCACGGGAATGCCACAGGTGGCAATAGTCGCACCAGTTTCCTTTCCCGCAGCCATAAGGAGAGAAGAAAAAGACGCAGGGGTTGCAAGTGCCATTGAGGTGGGCCACTGACACCAACGGCAACGATCTGGGCTCGGTGGCTTTGAGCATAGACCGAGCCTCTCAGGGATGCATTGAAGTCCAATAGAATCAATCACTTGTCTTATGTTGATTCATTATGAGTCAACGTTTTGTTACAAGTCAATACCAGGAGTTATAGGTCAGCATGTAACAAATACTGCATGCGAAAACGACGAAAGGAAAGACCTTCCAATCGCACGAGAGCATGCCTTGACTAGCTTGACTTGGAAATATCAGTTCTGTGTCGCTCATGCAAAAATAGGCAGTTGTAGTCACTGGGCCTTTTTTCATGTAAGATACATGAATCTCGAGCTGAACTAAATCTGGAGGGTCTCAGGGATCATTGGGCAAATCATTTCGCGTTGCTATTAGTTGATTGCTCATTCTAACTTGCCTAAGCCCATTATCCCAAATTGTTAATGGAATGGAGCGGGATGGAATATTTAATACTATGTTTTGTGTCCCTCCAACAGAATTTGATGGATTATGAGTACCTTATCCTTGTTTGCCTTTGAACACCTGCGTCAAAAAAAACCTGCGATCTTCTGTAAGAATCCTCTTGATTTGCCTTGATATCATGAATATTGTGTGTATATATATATGTATACTACTATTGCTTAAGAATCTATAGGCCAAATCCTCTTTGCAGAGTTCTTGATAGACTATATACATCGCTTATAAGAATCTCATCCGAATCCTCTTTGCTGGAACTCTTGATTGGAATGATATCAACATCATCAACATGTTTGTCCAAAATCCAAGTGTCCACGAACAGGTCGAACGAAGGATTTATATCAGGACTGTTCGCTTCAAACAATCGTTCTCAGTCTTCCTCGTCTTTTATGTCTTATCCTGATCCACCTTTTGTCCGACTTTTAGCTGATCCTATTGATTTACGACGACTCTCACCCAAACTTTATCAATAACATATCAAACTACTATGTCAAAATGATGCAACATGTATTCAATGAATGTCAATGATTGAAAAACCAATGAACAACCAAAAAGACGCACCACAACTGTTCCTTTCGGAGCAGTCCGGGCAGTCCGATGTTACGTGCCGGTCTTGGTCTTGTTTTCTTACGTCGGATTGAACTGGAGATGTATGGAGTATGTGAGGAGGAAATCCAAACAAAAGTCCTTATGACGTTCTTCTGTTTATATATAGTCTGAGAAGGTGGGACTGGGGTGGCACCCCCAGGAGTGCCCAAATATCTGACCTTCTGAGGTCCTTGGAGCCCATCCTAGACTAAACTCCCTGGTATCCTTTTTGGTGGAACATCTGAGAACCCCCCAGGCGTCGTCGGAGTTCCATCAAGTTGCTCGGCCTCGGAAGAGGCCATGGGGGGCCTCGTGGCTGGACGCGCAAGAGCACGACTACCCCAAAACCTACTGTTCAAACATTGCAAAATGGCTGCAGGATGCACCAACCACCCGGGAGTGTGGCGCGCTCTCAAAACTGCGTGGCTTAGGTTGTCGAAGAGATAGTAAAACGTCCAAGTCCACTGCAGCGTCCAACGTCCAAGCTCTCAAAATGCTCCTTCAAGGTTTCATCAACGACAATTTCGCCGGCGTTTGTGGACCATTTTGGGAGACCTCCCAGGCAACGACCCCCCGAATTCCAAGACGCACTTGTGGGATATGATCGTGTCAACCCTTCTGACCTCTGGGGTCTTGCGTGGAATCCCGGTGAATTATCACAGAACAAACACCTCGTGGGGTCACCTGCTGGTTATGTTCTTGGGGTTATAAGTCAGAACCCTCCAAGAAGCTGGCCTCTGAAGCTCCTTTGGCCAGCTGAACGTGAAGTGCGGTGTAGGCTTCGGCTTTGGTCTGCGGTCAGTGGCACCACCAGGAGACAGTCCCTGTAGTTCATATCAATCAAACAAGGGTTTCGTTCTCTAGCAAAAATCAGGGGTCCTGACCCCTCCAACCAGGTCACAGTTGAGATCCGTTCCGCCAAGTCTGGCTGTTTGACGTGTTCAAAGCCAGAAACCTTTGTTGAACATACACTCCCCGAAATAATCCATGGAAGTGGAACACCTTTATATGCTTGGTTTTGGATTTCAGTGCGATGTTGATTCACTTCGATAATTTGGCAGTGTATCCAAACCGTGGAACCCTGAGTTGACCACGGAACATGAAGAGGGAAAACACATCGAGGTCAACTGGGCCCAGGGTCAACAAGGTTTTGCACAGCCATTTCAAGGAGTGGCATGTTCTCGAACCAACCCTGACCTCGAACAAGCTTTCGACCACGACTGACCGTCTCAAGTTCAAGTGCGGGCGGCATTCCGACGGGCAAACAGGGCAACTTTTCGTCCCGCTTCAGGAGCAGCATCGGGTGGTTGGAGCACGTACTGTATCTATAGTTTAATATAACATGGGCCATGCTGCTGGTGGATGTTTTCAACATCCCAGTCAGCAAGGAGGCTGAGTCTTTGTCTCGATTACATATGACAAAAATGTCTGTGCATGGTCACCGTCTTGTGATCCTGCAAGTTCAGCGATATCATTCAAACAACTGTCCTTCTGCCTGAGCCAAACAACCCTCGACTCTGCCTCACCTGCACAGCTGATTGAAGCTGCCCCCAATTGCTTATCAAATTCCAGACTATCCAAAAGCCTCCGGGCTGATTAAAACCCCAGGTGTGTCCGCACTCCGCACTCTCTTGGTAGAGATGCAAGGGGGCGAGTCAGGGCAAATGGTGACCTACAACCTCGCTGTTGCCTTTTGTACCCTGCAGGAATTACCTCCAAAGTTTCTGGAAATAGTTAATGCCCGGTGGCCGAACTAGGAGGGTGGCACCAGGTCGGAGAGTAGAAGCTGGTGGACATATTAACCTATCAAATTAATTGTAAGATAGTGTAAGATAGTGTAAGTATAGCGCAAACCAATAAAGTACAAAATTAAATGTAGATCCCCAAACGGTTAGAACAAATCTTGAGGACCTCCAACCTATGGGACATCGGACTCCTCTGCAACAAGGTACGACCACTGCTCAGGAGGCTCAGGTCTGGGTGGTTCAGTGGTTTAAGTATCTCCATCTAGAGCAAGTACATGACATGGGTTTCGCGCCAGCACTGTGACCCA